CTGTGATGGAAGAGGTATAGGATCTGCAACAGGATAGATCTAGATAAAACTTCCCGCTAGGTCATTTAACGCTTTGAGTCTGTTTCTCACTATAAAAATGGAATAATACATCTACCTATCAGGTGATTACAACGATTTAAAACAGTGCCTCTCCCAATGCCTGTCATTACAATAACTGCTCAGGAAATATTGGTTTCCTTTTATTCTTTCCATCTACTATTTACATTTAAATACAGTGCTAAAAATAAGGTTTAATAAATATTTGTTATTGGATGAGCAAAAGGAAAAAGGGGTAGGCTAGTTCTACTATGTCGAAAATGTGTTTCTAATGGAAGGAGAGAAACGTTGGCTTTCTGTTCCCATGCCGTATGGATTTTGCTTCATATTCTGGTATATGTTGGTCTACCTATTGGAAATGCTGTATCATGCTTTGTTGAGCAAATTGAGTTAAAATTCTGCTTAGATGACACATTCTGAGAACCGTTTCTTATCACACATTGATTAACCATTTCTTCCTCTGCATGATTTCTGCCCTTCGTAGATACCTCATTGTAAATATGTTTACAATATGCAAGTATGCACTTTCTCCTATGTGAGTGTTATCTCTTGGCGGGCAGGGGCCAGTGGTTTAAACATCTTGGTAACTCCAGCCCCTTGTCTAGAGCCTGGCTGCCTGACACATCCCAGGCAATCAATGAATCTTTAATTCATTGAGCTTATGGGTCATTACTGGGACTTGTTTTCTGATCAGTAATTTCCATCTACATGCATACACACACACACACACACACACACACACACACACACACAATGTATGATGGAGATAGTGGATAAGAACTTTGACTAAAACTGCCTGGCTTTGTCACTTGTGAACTGTGTAAATTTGGTTGTCATTCGTCTTTGTTTCTGTATTTATCAGAACAACAATAGTATCTGCATCTGGAGTTTTAGGGGTAAATAAGTCAATACATGTGAAATTTGTAGAACAAAGCCTGGCTTATAATAAGTGCTCAATAAATGTTAGCAACTATTGTATGTTACAGCTGTATTTTAACAGCTCTGGCTTTACAGTCAGATACCTTGAGTTGGAGTCCTGGTTCCATCTCTCTCTGGCTTTGTGCCCTTGGCTGGGTTGACAACTTTAGTCTATTGAGTCTATTTTCTTATTTGCAAAATGGAAATACTAATGCCATCATGGGGTCTGGGGGAGGAGATAATGAGATGAGGCATGGAAAGCAATAGTATATTACCCATCAGTGTTGTTGCTATTATTATTTTATGGTGCTTTAAACTTATCAAAACAGTTATAAGTAAATGGATTTCTTGTTCTCCTAATAACAATTCTCTGAGCTAGGATAGATGTCTTTCTGGCCATTTTACAGGTGATGATGCTGCCATAGGGACTGTGAGTGGGTAGCTTAAGTTCCTTGGTTACCAGGAGCAGGACCCACGTTTCCTGTCTCCCAGTCCCTTCTTTTTTCCACTGACCAGGTTGGTTGCTCCCTTGGAAATCAGTCCCTGAGAACTGACTTAGAAATACAGGGGAAGAGGTGGATGAAGTCATGTTGGATGCACAGTGGATCAGGTTGCAGTGTGAATGTTTCTCAGTGGCATGTCTAGATTTCCCCCATCCAAAGACTAACCAGGCCCGACTCCGTTTCACTTCCAAGATCAGACGAGATCGGGTGCATTCAGGGTGGTATGTCCAACGACTGTCAGGGGATTTGTTCTGGAAGGGGGGTGGCATTATTGAAAACACAGCAGCTTCATCCACACATTCATCATGAAAGAGGGAAAATTAGTAAGGGTTCCACCATTCTGTGGACTATAGTGTCATCCCTAAATCCTCATTATGAGGCCTACCAGGGCTTTCTTGAGCCCTGCAGGGCAGCTAGCAAAGGGACTGAAAAAGAAATGAGGTCCGGGGTGGTGGGGGGGAGGGAAGATTTAGGCAGTTGCTCTGTAGCTTGAAGGAAGGGAAATTATGACTTTTCAAGTCCTTAGAAATTGGGCATTTGAGGGTATACCTTTTATTATAATGGACCCTAGAATGTTCAAAGGAAGCTTAGTGGAGATAGCTGACTTATTTCATTGGGCCACTGAGCTAGCAGAATTTTAGCTTCATCTTTGTTCCATCTTACAATTGTTCCATCTTATATATGCTGGTTGCCTAATAGATGTTGATTTGGTTGAATTAATTACAAGACCAATGAGAAGTTTAAAGGTGCTTTTTTTTTTTCAATGGAAGAATAAAGGCAGGAGCCAAACTTTAAGGAGTTAAGAAGCAACTTGATTCCCACTGCCCATCTGCCTATGTATATCCCACTACTTGATGCTGGCTAATGTCTTCCGTTTTTGTTTTTTCTAACTAATCTTCCTCCTCCTGACAGAAGAGTATGAATGTCTACCAAAGTTTAGCTTTTTGCATTACTTGTTTTTAATGTCACGGACTGAATGTTGCACGAGGATAGTTTTGGTAAAAGCCAAGGATGGCGTGGCTTCCATTTTCCTTAATTCAATGGACACCCTCCAGTTGTAATCTGATGGCTCTTACCAAGCAGCAGGCCTTGCAGGGTAAAGTAGTACAGGGCCCTTAGAATCGAACCAACTGTTGCAAGGTAGCAAATCAGGCTTCAAGTAGTTTTTAGCGTCAGCTGGAAAACAGACTGACTTCTATGTGCCACTAAGAAGTATTACCAGTACTGGGGCTGAAAGATCACACATATAAAATACCTAGTTTAGTACCTGGTAAAGAACAGGTAATTTGTGAAACATTGTGGTGGTTATTGCCCCCTGAGGCCTAATCTCTAGGGCTTTCCCCTCCTGTTCCTGTCCAGGAGTCTTGGGTGTTTGCTCTAATGCATCCTTTGCAGAGGATGGAAGAGAGGATGGCTGCCCTCTGCTCTTTCTTCTCTGGAAACTCATCCTACTCTGGGTCTCAGTTTGTACATCTATGTGCTAAAGGTGTTGGACTGGTGTAGGGGCTTTTATTTGGAATTCACAGATAAACTGCCAAGGGGCCTATGAACTCCTTAAAGCATGACAAAAAATTATTCCTGTGTGTGTTCTGGGCGGCCCTGGTGACTCTATCATCTTTGATGCACCTGAAGGCGTAAATATTCCGTCATATCAGTTACTCGGGGTCCCAAAATTTGATACACATGCTCCTGGTGGTTCACAAAATGATTTCAGGTGGTATATGGGTGCATGTTTGTTATATTGATAATTATGTGATTCATGTTAGGGAAAAAAACCTAGCATATCACAGTTGAAATTTCATGCATATTATTTCTTTGGACGAGGCTAAGTCTTGCTTTTAAGAAAAGGTGACTTAAAAAAAAGTTACATGAATAATAGTACAAATGTGGGTTGATTCTTCAGTTTGAGATACAATGATTGGTCCCAACTCCCGACCCGGTACAGACAGAGGAGCTGAGTCTGGAGAAGTGGAGAAAAGGCCATAAAGAAAGTTGGTGGTAAAAGGCCAATAACCCAGTGGCCTTCTGCAGTATCATCATTGTCTATGACTGGCAGAAGTTTCTGACTCTCTCATGTCTCTTCCGAGAACAATGTCCCAGTCAGGCCAGAAATCTTGCCCAGAGAGTTTCCACCTTAGGCACTTTACTTGAGATGCCTAAGGAGAGGCTTTCGTTGCAGGAAAAACGAGTAATACTGAGAAAGTCTCGTCTTTTTTCCCATGCTCCCTCAATTCTGAGATGTACTTTTTCACATTTTAATGTTCCTGAAATTGGGCTGCATCTTACAAAACTGTTTTTACCTAAGGTGACAGTTATTTCCTTGCCAAAAAGCTATTAGTAAATGGATAGTAGCTTAGAATTGAGACAATATGATTCTTTCACCTTTTTTTTTCTCCTCCAAAGCAAATTACACTTGACAGTCAGGACTTCTAATACATCTATAAACTGAAAGAAAATTTCCCTTTCAATGAAAAACTCTCATCTCAAACCATTTACCCTGCACTGAATGGAAGTTAGGAGAAATGAGTCACCAATGCAGATGTAGAGATATTAACCCAGACCCAGCTTTCTGGACTCCACCCATCTACTCTCCTCTCTAAGTTTGTAAATCCTTTGCATGTATTTAGTGCCTTTCCCAGGGGTATGCCACATAGAACCTTCTGGAAATGGCTTTCTAGAAGTTATAAATCTGGATCCTCAACAGGGGAAAAGGATGAACCATCTTCCACAGCTTCAAGTGGACTTCATTCACTTCATGTCACAGCTGCTTGATTTCTCCACAGTTCATTTCTGTGGAAGGCAGCCTTCTGGTCTGTTTTTCCAGATGGCGAGCTTGGGGTGAGTTAGAAGTGCCTGACTGGACTTTACAAATCAGCATTTTTATTGGCTATTTTTGTTCTAGGTACAATGGAGGTTGATGGATTGTTACTTTTGGTTACCAAAACCAGGAGGAGGGGAGGGAGCTGCTTAGGAGAAACACCCAAAAAGAACAGACCAGCCTTTCTCAGGGACTCAGGGGTGGTGGCACTGCTTCCAACTGCTTCATTTAGAATACCAGATAATAAGCAACCAGGACTTGGCCTTTAGAAGTCAATGGAATAAATAAGCTGGAAAAGGTTGAAGAGAAAAAAGCCAAGGAACATGTAAGTAGAGGATTATATGGAGCCATTTAAGAGCACAAAAAGCAAGAGTAACAAGGCAGCAGATGGAATTTGGCCTCGCCTGGCCCTGCCAAGCTCACTCTGGGAAGCACTGTGTCGAAAGTGCTCTCTTTCTGTCCCCTGAAGCATTCAAGTTTCCTAGCCAAATTCTCAGGCTGTTTCTATGGAGTTTACAAAAAAGGAGCATAGCAGGGTTGATGTGCCCTTTCCCCGTCATTCTACATCCTCTTCTCAGCTTCATGCAATAAATCTCTGGCTTAAATGAAATTGTTCAAAGGAAAATGGAAAATAGAAAAAAAAATGGTGGAGGGGCAGGAGATACTGACTAGTTCTGGTTTTTCACAAAACAAGAAGAATTTGTCTAAGAGTAAACGGTGTTTATTTTTTGTTGTTTTTTTTTTCAATCAAATGGAATTGCTTAATTAAAAAAAACTTATTTCTTTTCTCCTTAAATACTACAGACAACCTCATTTTATCGCAGCAGACACCTAGGAACAAAACACTGGACCCACCAGAGAAAACTGGGCAATAAAAGCATCAGAAGTTCAAGTCAACTATGGAAGAATTACTGTTAGCTGGCAGCTTTCAATTCTAAACAGAAGTGTCCCAAACCTATTGGGTTTGACAAAAGTTTCTTAGAACTGGGGAGCTGGGAATGTTGGACTCCTTTTAATTCTATTCCAATCATTTCCTGCATAGGGAAATTAAAGTCAATGCATCAAATGAAGACCCAAAGAAACATTTAAAAACTTGTTTGACTAGTATTCAGTATGTGAGATTATTAAGTAATAACTTGTCCACCTAGTTAACCTTGTCCTGGAATATATATAGGTTATTTGTAGCCGCCACTGCTATAATATTTTCTGAAGGATGCCAAGCTGTATGCAAGATCTTTTTGCTAAAGTCCAGACTGTCGACACTGATCTCGTCTTTTCTCCGCTTGCCCCCCACACACACTTTTCTGGGTTTGAGGATAGCCCGGGGCTTGCTGTTTTCCCTCGAAGCCTCAAGGGTCACATCACGCTTGGTGTTTCTGTCGAACATCCTAAAGAAGTTGTTGTAGGAGCCCGTCATGATGACGCTGCAAGATAGAGGGGAAAGGGAGTGACCGAGTGTTATGGAGAAAGGCAATGACGTATCTTCATTGTGTCGTCTTTCTAGAGCAAATGATATGTTATGGGCAGCTTATGACACCATAGGTTTTACTAAAAACAAAAACCAAAAAGTGAGAACAGGCTTTGCAGTGTGATTGTTGGCTTTTTTTTTTTTGAATCACTGAACGCAGTGAGCCTTTTGGCTGGGTTTGGACATGAGGGATGGTGAGAACTCTCCCTGTAATTTGCTTTTGCTCGGTAGATTCCTTTTGGTTCTTTGGCTCAGTAAAGGTGTCCAGTGGTTTTAATGATCCCAGTCCTACCTACCTCCCATCAGGAATGCGAGACTAGAATGAGGTTTGTCAAAGTAGACACATTTTTGAAAACAATAAGCAGTTGTACGTGTTTAAGGCTTGGCCACTGTCAAGGGGGCTCCTGGACGTCTGACCTCTAAGGCTTTATGGCATCAGTGCGGTTGGGGGAGAGATGCTGGTGGCATCGTGCATGAACCCGGGGCGTATCGTTTCCCTTGCCGAGAACTAGCTCTGAATTCGGCCTTTTTAGAAAACTTATCTACAAAAGGGATGTCATCATGGTCTTATCTGGGAAACAAGTAAGAAAATTCAAATTTTAAAAGAATCTGGGATGGAGAAATAAAAAGATTTTATATGGTTTTTATTTCCACATTTAATGGACACATGGCTTCCACATTTTTACAAGAGTTATCCCCTCTTAGGCATAGCTGCAATTGATCAGGAGAGTGGTGAACACCCAATGTCTTCCAGAGGCAAGGTACTCAATGTTTAATGATGGTGACATTTCAGACATGGTGACAAGCTGAGGTGGGGAGAGAGAGATTCCTTGAGCCAGGGCATCTGCAAGTACCCCAAGTGCCATCACACAGCAGTTCCCCTGGAGGGGCTGGCTCCCGCTCACTTCTGGGTGGAGCTCTGACTGGCTCCTTAAGATGGGAGAGCAGGAACTCTCATCCGTTTCTCAAATTATTTGGGATGTATAGAGAGGTGAAGGAAAAAGCTGACAAGATTGGGCCACAGCAAGGAGGATGTGTTTTTGGGCATGTTGTCAGCTGTACCAGGTAAATTAAGCAAAGGCTAGATTTTGTTACTCTGGCCCATCAAACTGATGCTGTGAACTGTGTCTGTGTCCTTGAGTGGACTGTTATTACCTTGTCAGGCAGGGCACTGAGGGCTTTGCCTCCATGATCTCGTTTCAACTTCTATTATTCCATAAAAGGGTTTTACACAGAGGTAAGTAATTTGCTCAGTGTCACATTGCTAGTGGGTAGTAAAGTCCACCCTTAAACCCACATATGGTTGACTCTGGGGCATAAGTATTCAGCCGGTTGGCCTCACTGCTTCCTGTGCTTTGACGTTCGCTTCCCTCCCATGACCCAACTCATTTTTAAACAAGTAAGAGATATTATTTTCAAAAAAAAAAAAATACTATCAACCTTATTTGAAAGAGAAATTAAATTTCCCAGTTGTGATGTTATAGAAAGTGTTGATCTTAGGATTCAAACTCTACACTTGTTACTTTTGCTTCTACTACTTACTACTTTATGAGGTTGGGCAGATTAATTTATCTTGCTAAGCCTCAGTTTCCTGAACTGTAAAATGAGAATGATGGAAACAATCTTGTTAGACTGTGGTTGGGATTAAATAAAATGATGTGTATGAATGTGTTTGGTGTATAGTAGGTGCCTAATAAGTGTGGTTTTTGAATCAAGGCTAAGATAGAGGAAAAATCTGAGCAATAATAACAGATATGTAAATAATAATATATGAATAAATCAATACCTATAAATAAAGAATAAAATGAGAAGGCTGGCTTCTTCTCCCCGTGGGGGATTTTGTTCATATGTCACAGTTGCTTTGCTCTCTGTCCTATACCAACTGGTCAGTGTGACTTGGGTCCTTTGCCATGTGGGGACTCCTTCCAAGCCTGCTAAGGAGGGGATTCATTTTGATCAGTGGCAAAGAAAGCCAAGAAACAGGTTGAGTGTGAGAGAGATGGTTTGTATTCACTGAAAGCTTGAATGTCTGAATGTCCTGCCATAATAGAATTTCTATGCTTTCAAACACTATAATTGGTGCCACCTTCATCAAAGAATGAAATCAACCCCTGGTAGCTTGCACTTAGTTCTCATGGAAGTCAAAGAATCATTTGTATCTGTCAAACTAAAAATGAACTATTGGGAGGTATTATGAAGTATTGTTCAAATCAAAGGCCTTAAAATAGTAATAAATCACTTTGAGGGAATGTGATAAATGAGGTCGACTAGAATTCAGTTAATGAACCACCAGGACCATTGGCCAGGTCTCCACTAGCAGCTTCAAGGGATAATTTTTGATCTGGAAAGCCCACTTGGCAGTAATCTGAACTGTTCAGGCTGGAATTTGCTGGTGGATAAGTGATCTTCATTTAGGCATGTTGACCTAGTGCTGGAGGTGTCTTTTGTGAAAAAGATAGGACTTTCTCATTAACATTAAAGTGTTATCTGTGCCAGTTCAGAAACAGGATTCAAAGGCCTTACTATATCCTTCTCTTCTTTCCAGGCCTGACATTATGCATTTCAGCCAGGTTTTGGAGCCCAATTTTGACCTCCCTTTGGCTGTACTCTACTTAGGATAAATTGCCCGAGCCTCTTCAAGACAACCTTTGGAAGGTTCTTCAGCTACAGAGCCTTTCTTACCTGTCTGACCCATTCCACACACACTCAAATTTATCAAAAATGCAGTCATTTTCATAGAGGGAACACAGCTTGCTGCGGAGGTAGTCATGAACCTGGAAAGGAAACATATCGAGAAGGTCAGTTATTATTTTAAACAGAAATTATTTCTGCAAACACCTCCTCTTCTGATGTGAGCTGTTAAATCTTTCATTTGTACATGCTCCTTGAATCAGATGGCCCTGGATCTGAACCTAGGCTTGGCCCTTTCTAGCTGTAGGACATTAGGATGGGTTGATGAGTTTCTCATGTAGCTGATATGGATTAATTAAGCTTGCTTGTATAGACAGTGGCATCCAGTAAGACTAAAGAAGTAGATTCTCATTTTCTAAGCTGATTTGCTCACAGGCATTAGAGGTCACCATTCATCCAGTCTTTTATTCAACAAATATTTACTGAATACCTGCTATGCATTTGAGATGCAGCAGTGAGCCAAATATCCTTGTGGTGCTTTCCACCCAGTGTTACGTGAGAGACTATATAACCAAGTAAATAAATAAGACATTTAGATGGTGATAAAATCATAGAACAAAAGTGTATGGAAAAAGAGCCTGGGAGATCTTGTCGGGGGTGTATTATTTTATACAGGGCAAGTAGTCAGGGCTTCACTGGAGGAGGCAGCATTGGAGCAGAAGCCTGCAGGAGATGAATGAGCCACAGTGACGTCTGGGTTTGGGGTGAGGGGAAGGCTCTCCAAGCATAGGAAACAGCAGACACAAAGGCCTAGAGGCAGGAATCCTGGAGGGAGTGTGGTTGGGGAGTGGTGAGTAAGCAGCTGGGGGAGAGGATGATCAGTTTACATAGGCCCTTTATTCTGAGGAAGAAGAGACTTCACAGAAAGGATTGCTGAATCTGCTGTGTTGCAATGGATCCTAAAGGTGCAAAGACAAAGGCAGGGAGACCAGTTATAACCTGAGTGATAGATGTTGGCTTGGACCAGGGCATGAGCAGTGATGGGGACTGGTCAGATTCTCCTTTTGTTTAGAGAAAGAGCAGATAGGACTTGGGTCAACTCTGAGATGTGGAGAGAAAAACAGGAGTCAAAGATGACTACCTGATCTTTCTCCTGAGCAAGTAGAAGGAAGCGGGTACCATGTTCACTTTTGGGTACAATGGTTTAGAGATGTCTACATGTGGAGCTGTCAAGTAGACTCTGAGGTAAAAGGTGCCGTCCTGGAGTATGTGGAGATTCTTTCCTGGTTTTTCTTAACCATGCTGCTGCTTTCACTGGAAATCAACTGAGAGTGAGCAGGAAGAGAGGAATGGTTGGCAAACAATGTCAGATTTCTGGAAGGCACCAGGGGACACTTGACATTGTTGAACATGTATGTCAAATAAGGCTGATCAAGCATAGTTGAATATTTTTCTCCAGCTACACTCAGCAACTCAGATGTAGATGCCAAATAGATGAATAAAGTTCAGAGAGTAGTAGCCTGGGTTCAGTGTTTCGAAGGTAATCCTTCCTGAACCCGCTAGCACAGAGTGGCAATAATAACGGGCATACCCAAAATGCTGGCTTGTCATTATTAGCCAGGTGCTTTATCTGTCAAAACCTCATTTCATCTCTAAAGCCATCTTATGATGCAGGTCCTTTCATTCTCTTTACTCTAATGGAGCATGAAGCACAGAGATATGACATCATTTGTCCAAGATCACACAGAAAAGAAAGTGACAGAAGGGGAGGGAACTGAGCCCCGGTATCTGGCTCTGGAGTGCACACTCTGAGCTGCACTAGCAACCTGCCTCCAGCTTGCTCTGGTGGGTCCTCAGTCCTTGACAGGAGCTGTGATAATGAACTCAAGTGAGGTTGAGAGAGAAGGAGATAGAACTAGGTGAAAGCAGAGGGAGGCTACCAAGGGTATTGGTGTTTCACTTTAAGTTAAGAGTGATGATTCAATCTCTTTTCTCCTGCAACTGTGGCTCTTTCTCTTCCTTTGACTCCAACAGTTCTGCTGGACGCTGAGCTTCAGGCTCAGTTGTGTGCTTAGTCTTGGGTAAAGGAACGAGGTCAGGCTCATCCTATGTTCCATTAGATGTTTTGGGTATTTGAAAAGCTCTGAGTTATTTGGACAGAGGAAGTTATTTCTAACTCTGCAAATTAATTTTCCCCCACCTTTACTCTCTCACTCCCAAACAGTTCCAGGCCTTGTCAGGGTAACAGCTTCAGTGCTTTGGTGACAAGGGAATACCCCTCTGGCAGTGCTGTTGGCATTGTTAGGTGCATTTGGGGGCTGCAAGGGTGAGGCTGTGTCCTGCCCTAACAGAGGCATCTCTGCTATAAACTACTCACTCACCTTCCCTAGGGAGCACAGCAGTAAAGGTTTATAAACCTGGCAGTGGTAAGATTTATAAGGTCTAGTTCCATCTGCCCACTTTGTGATGAACCTTTCCTCATCTGTCACCATTCACTTTTGGCATTTTGTCTTATTACTCACCTGCGGTGTTTCTATAAGTGTCAAAATGTGTGCTTTGGAAGTCACGCCCATTAGCAGGAATGACATTGCTGAGCACTCTGTAAATAATTCTTGAAAGATAGAAGTTGAGATAGACTCAAGGGAAAATCTAGTCTGAACCATTATTTCTCCTCCACCACACCTAAGGTCTGGGTAGCTCCTACCTGCCTCCAATTGACAACATTTAAAGAAAAAGAATGTCTACTGTGAAGTATGCTGTATGTATGTTTTGTTGCATAGAAAGAAGTCTTCTTAGGCAAACCAGAGGGACCTTTTTCTACCAGAGGAAAGAATAAGGTAAGATGTACACATGAGCAACCTCTAGAGCATGGAGCAAGAGAGAACTTAAAACTCATCCTGTTTAATGTTCTTTCTTCATGTTCCTAATATGACTTTTCTATGATCCTATTAATTTGTGCATGGGATTTTTGACACTAGACTGAGTGTCCCAATACAGTGCTTCTCATTATTTGTGGGAGTCCAGTGTCATACAGTTAGTGGACTGCTATGAGGCAAACAAAGAGCCAACTCTGTCGGTCCATTCTTGTATTTCAAGTGTTGACAAACTTTTTCTCCAAAGGGCTGGATAGTAAATAGTTTAAGCTCTGTGGGTCGTATGGTCTCTGTGACAGCTACTCAACCCTGCCATTGCACATGGAAGCAGCCGTAGAACATATGTAAGTGACTGTACATGGCTGTGTCTTAATAAAATTTACCTGCAAAGACAAATAGGGGGCTTGTTAGGAACACAAGTTGCAGTCTGCCAGCCCTTGTTCTATGGGAAAACTTGAAAATAGCTAATCATACTTAAGTCTGCAGCCTTTTATTCATGGAAACGTGATTGAGATCTGTGAATGTATGTATGAAAACGTATAATAGTAGTATTACCTGTCTCCTTGCTCAGGGCAGGCATTATTGACTGATCACTAAATTCTTTCCCACTGGACCTCACAACCTATCATGGTGTTCTGGAGGCTCACTGAATCAGAGCTTGTTTACCATCTTTAAATTACTTCATGTAAAAGTTAGATGGCTGTGCTCTAAAACTAGCTTTGTCCTAAATCTACTCTTCCTAGTTAAGGCTCCCCAGCAGCCACACTCAGGTCCTAGTTCCCACTGCTCTTTCTTTTGCATTAAGGATTCGAATACTATCAGGTTTGTCTTATGCAGCTGGAAGAGGACACTGTGGTGACTCTAGTCCTGGGCTAAAGATGAAGGCTGCAAATGAAAGCTTGGGGGTAAGTGATGTGGAGCCAAGCCCTGAAGTCAAGGTAGGATTCAGGAGACAGGAACACTAAATAATAGGGAATATGATGGACCACAGGGGAAACAAAGCTATCTCCACTACATATATGGCTGTGAATTCTGGCTCCCAAACCTTTCTCTAGCACCTGCTGGAACAGAGTCATCAAAGTCTTCAACCTCCTCTCTGAACCTTTCCTTCTTCTTCCTCTGACTGGAATTTGGATCTCCTCTGAAGACACTCAAGTGGTAGCTAGAGTTTTGCTCTCACTCCACATGCCAATGTTGGGTAGGTAGGCTCCTTGTTGCTCCAGACAACTATTCCTATTTAAAGCCCTCAACTCCTTTGAAGTCATGCCATCAAACTAAGCTTCCTGCTACCTGTCCTTCTTTTAGCCATCAAAAGTTCTGAGTCCCTAATCCTTATTCCTTGAAGCAAGTTTGCATCTCTGTCTCTCTTCCATTACTATTCCTGTCACTATTTTTAGTTATTCGAGCACTCTAGTCTCTCTCTTACTCAGTCTCATCATATTCAATGTGTTTTGTCCTTTGCTTCCTTGGTCATATTATGAACCTTGTCATTGCTATCCCTGTACCTGTCATTGCTATCCCTGCTGCTGCTGTTAACTCCTGTCTTTTTAGTTCACTCCTTCTAGTATCTTGATTCTATCAATCCTTAAAATTCATTATTTCCCCTTTGCCCACCTTCGACTCAGCAGTACATCATTACAATCATTCCTTTAGCATAAATATTCAACAAGCTTGCCTTTCTTGCTCTCTGTTTCCATTGTACTCATTTGGCACAACTCTATCACTAGTTAAATCTTACTTTCTACCCTTTCTTTACCTGTATCAAGCAGGTGAATGTGGCTGAGAAGAAACATAATCATACAGGTTAATCTCCCTTTAAATCAATTATGTAAATTTCAAGTGGATGCCTGAGCAACCCTACCACCCTACAACATTTCTCTTTCTTAGATGAGTACTTTACCCCTTTTCTTTCTTCCCATTCAGCTAATGACCTTACTACTTATTTTACTAAAGAAAACACCTACATGTTCTCATCACAAAATTCACAAACCTACTTCATCTATATATGAAAACTGCTGTCATTCCTTTGACAGATGAATTATCTATGCACCTTACCGTCTACAGCCAATTCTGCAATGGACTGCATCCCCCACTGGCTTGCCTCAAGGGCTTTGTTCTTTCAGTGGTCTCTCTCTCTAATGGTCTCTCTCTCTAGTGGCTTATTCCTATCAGCAGAAAACATGCTGTAATAACTTCATTCAGCCAGAATCCCTTTTCAGCTACACTTCCATTTCTCTGTTCTCCTTCAGAGTAAACTTACTGAAACAGTTGTCTGTCCTCATTATGTTATCATCTTCAGTTTCTTAAACTCACTCCAATTGGACATTTATTCACACTGCTCTACTACTGTTCCTCTGTCATTCAGGTTACTGATAATCTCCACTTACTAAACCCAAGTTCGTAGTCTTCTGTACTTGATTCAGCAAAGCATTTGGCAGTCGATGACTTCCTTTTCCTTAAGACATTTTCTCCACTTGGCTTCCTAGTCACTCCTCTCATCTCACTGGCTAGTTTCCCCAAATCTCTCTTGCCAAATCCTCTTCCTATTCTCAACTAGGTCTTATTTTCCGACCTCTTCTTTAATTATACTAATTGCCTAGAAGATCTCATTCAGTCCTATGGCTTTAAATACCCTCTATATACTTGTGAGTGTCAGGTTTATATCTTGAAGCTAAATATATCCAGACTCACATTGAGCTGTCTACTTGCTGTGTCTGTTTGGATGTTAAACTGGTTTAACAGAGCCAAAACCAAACTCTCGATTTTCTCATCTAAATAAATTGGCAACTCTACTTTTCTAATTGTTCAGGACAAAAATTTTGGAGTAATCCTTGGTGCTTCTTTCTTTTCCTGTTACATCCCACATCAAATTCGTCCTCAAACCCTATTGCTTTTACCTTGGAAATATATGAAGAATCTGGCTATCTTCATTGCTAATACACTCATCTAAGCTACTATTTCCCCTTGCCAGAATGTTATAACTATTCTCCTGTCTCTTCCAATGTCCCTCCCACAGTTTCTTCTCCCCAGCGCAACCAGAATATTAATTTAAAAATGTCAATGATGAAAATGATCTGGAATTAGATAGTGGTGGTTTCATTAAATTGTGTGCTTTGAAAGGCCGATTATTATGATATGTACATGATATCTCAAGGAAAAAATGTAAGTCAAATCCTTCTGTATAGAATCCCCCCACTTCTTTTTATCTAACTCCAAATAGCTTAAAATAGGGTTAGTTTATCCCCACCCCACTTGATCTTTGCTTTCATTATACTCTTGCCTGGATTTTGCTTCTTTAAGTCCTCTCTACTTCAAAGTCTGGTCTTCCTCTTTCAACAACACCACCCTAAAAAATGCCTTTCCCTTTGTTTCCTTGCATTTACACAATCTACCTAACACTTAAGTTCAAAACTTCCAGTCTTTTTGATTCCTCTCCCTGTACATTTGATCAGTAAGCAAACCTCACTGACTCTTCATCTTACCCATCCTTCCATCTGCACTCTACCATTACCAGACCAAATTGCCATCATCTCCTCTTATCTAAATTGTCTGTTTGGCAAACTGCAAAGTGAAACACACTGTAAAAACTAAAACTCACAATGTCATTTCCTGGTGTAAAACTTCAATGGTCCTCCATTGTACCCAGTCCACAGGCAAAACAGCCTACTGTACATTACCAGGGCCTAGTGATTGGCCCCTTACCTCTATCTCCAGGCTCATCTTTCTGCCTTTGTGATTCATATTCAAGGTATAAGCACCCTGAACACACCTCATTTCTCTTGACACCAGGCCTTTGAACATACTATGTTTTTAATTATTATACTTTAAGTTCTGAGATACATGTGCAGAACATGCAGGTTTGTTATACGTGTGCCATGGTGGTTTGCTGCACCCATCAACCCGTCATCTACATTAGGTATTTCTCCTAATGCTATCCCTCCCCTAGCTCCCCACCCCCTGACAGGCCCCGGTGTATGATGTTCCCCTCCCTGCGTCCATGTGAACACATTATTTTAAGAGCATGCATTTCCTGACTAGTTCATGGCAGTTAAGACTCAGTTTAAGGGTCACTTCTTTGGGAAAATCTTTCTCACCTGACTGGACCATCTCTTGCAGAGATGCACACTCAATTCCTTGCTCATCATCTGCCTTTTCCGTCAGATGGTAAGCTGCATGAGAGCAGGACCATTTGTTTACCTCTGTAGTATCCATTCCACATGAAGTGCTCAGTCCATATCAATTACATTGAATTCTAGCCTCTCCACATGCACCTTTATCTTAATTATAGCCTGTACCATTTTACTGAATGTATCACCATGCACTGCCTTCCATTTTTCTGCATTGTAAACCTTTGGAAGCAGGGGTTGGCTTAAAAGCTCATGAAGGCAATGTTCCATATACCTATGGGTGCCTGGGGTTCTATACCTGGTAAGTCTCGATGGGGCGGTTTTCCATGTTGAGATCCCAGACTTTAACGGTCAAATAGTCCCTGGTCATGATATACCTCCCACTGTGGCTGAACTTCACATCCGAAATTGAAGAGATAATTTCAGAGAAAAATGATCTGTTGCTTGGATCTTCCGGCTCTTCAAAAACTGCAGAACAAAAGCAAAACAAGACAAATTTAGCAATCCTTATCAACTGACTCTAACATGTTTGGACTGGCTAGGAAGCTAACAGTGTAACTGAGAGTCTTCCTTAAGTAGGGCTGGTGTCTGCAGAATGTAAGTTGCTAATAGAGAACTGTCATCTCTCTGGTAGTGGAAAAAGCTGTCATTAGTTTCTGGATTTTAATTCTCATGGAAGGACTGGCATGGGACCTGTCCTGTTCATAGATCTGGCACTGACAGATCTATGCATCTAACTCTTTTTCTGTTTCCCTTAGTATCTGGGTGTCACTGCATAAAACCTGGAGTCATCTTAGATACTTAAAAAAAATTTTTTTACAGCTTTTAGTGAGATAAAATCCACATACCACAAACTGTAAAGTGTAGAGTTCAGTGGTTTTCAGTATAATCACAAAATCATCGCTATAATCTAAATTTAGACTATGTTCTTTACCTCCCCCCAAAAACTCCATATGCATTAGCAGTTACTTTCCATTGCCTGCTCCTATAGTCCTAGGTAAACACCAATCTGCTTTCTGATTCTCATTCTGGAAATTTCACACAAATGGATTCATAGAATATATGGTCATTTGGGACTGACTGGCTCATTTTACTTGGCATAAAATTTTTAAGGTTCATCCATGTCGTAGCATGTATCAGTTCTTCGTTCTTCCTATGGCCGAATAGTATTCCATTGTATGAATATACCACATTTTGTTTATCCATTTATCAGTTGATGAGCATTTGAGTTGTTTCCACTTTTTAGCTGCTAGGAATAACAGTGCTATGATTATTCATATACAAGTTTTTGTCTGGCCTTATGTTTTCATCTCTCTTGTTGGCTCACGGTGTTTAACGGTGGGACTTTGGCCAGGTGTGGTAGCTCATGCCTGCATTCAGCACTTTGGGAGGCCTAGGCAGGAAGATCACTTAAACCCAAGATTCCAAGACCAGCCTGGAAAATATAGGAAGACCCCATTGCTATAAACAGTGAGCCAGGCATGGTAGGGCATGCCTGTGGTCCCAGCTACTTGGGTGGATGAGGCAAGAAGGATTGCTTGAACCAAGGAAGCTGCAGTGAGCTACTATTGGGCCACCGCACTCTAGCCTGGGTAACAGATCAAGATCCTGTCTTCACAAAAGAAAGAAAGAAAAAAGGTGGTGCTTTCTTGCTGGACTGCCTTGGGTCTAAGGTCAGCCTGTCATTTACTTGTTGTGTGACCTTAGGCAAGATACTTCTCTGTGCCTTAGGTCTCCTTGTATGTAAACTGTAGCTATGATGTCTTTTTGAAATTAACAATATTTCCAAATTTGTATAAATTTAATGGGTACAAATGTGGTTTCATTACATGGATATATTGCATAGTGGTGAAGTCTTGGCTTCTAGTATAACCATTAGCCAAATAGTGTACATTGAACCCACAATGTCTCCTGTGTGAATTGTCTATTTGCTCTGATATCCAGCCTCTTATTATCTCTCTCAATAGCTTCAGCTGATTTCCACTTACAGGAAGAAGGCATGGCTTCTCAGTATGTTATCAGAGCCCATCATAAACTGTCTCTAATTCTTCTTTCTACCTCGATTTTAAGTTGGATGTATAGAGTATATCATCTCCATGTTTCCCACTTCTATTCATTGCCTGATTCCTTCTTCATGGATCCAAATACTCTTTGATTCATATACCTCATCTGCTACATATTATTTCACCCCAAATGATCTTTTCTTTTCTCTGAAGCCCTATCATACTTGGTCTGCCCATTTATTTAGTATTTGCTCAGGTATTCTCTTACAATGAAACTATCATTTTTCACATTATTATTTTAACAATTCATGAGTTTGTTTTATCTCTTCAACTAGGACATAAGCTTCTTGAGAACAGGATTTTGGTCTTATCTTCATACTCGGAGTCTTGCTCACAAATGTTCAATGAATATTTGTTGCTTCACTGGAGCCAAAGCCAGATAAATTAACAGATTCTTTGCCTTCTGGGTGCTTAGCATGTATAGTATTTATTAAGTTGAAACATATGCAGTTGCTGACATTCAATTATTTTTGACCTACAAAGATGGCAATTGTGTATGGTTAAACCCAACAAGGGTTTATATCACAATTTCAGGCTGAAACAAACACTGGCCTGCAGGTTGCTGAGTTAACTCATCCTCCAAGACTACTTCTTTCCTGCCTGGTCAATGCACTGACATAGTCAGTAATGAATTCTGTATAAAGAGCCCAAGTATATAATAAGTTACATTTCAAACCTTGCTGAATTAAACTGTGAACTAAGCCAAAATGTTAATTTTCACAGAACGATTGAAGAGAATAGCAACAAAAACCCTGATCAATCGAATTGAAATTGCAAATTAAGAAAAGAATCATTGAAACAGAAAAACATGCCTCTGACCCAATCTCTTAGTCTGTGCCCTCATCTTTTGGGCTTCAGCTGAGTATTAGTGAAGGCCCCAGGATTCTGATTGGTATCTTCGTAGTTGAGAACTAGATGGGAAGAAAATTTTCACATTAGTTTCAACTAACAGCCATCTCAGTACTGGGGGCTTGGAAATTCCAAGTAAAACACCTGACCCAGAGGCAGTAAAGTGGATGAGCTTAGCAAATTGTGCTCTGGAATCATCAATTCCTGCCTCTGTCAGTTACTAGCTGTGATCATTTTATTTAGTACTCCAGCTTTAGTTTTCCCAGCTGCAAAATGAGGAGCCACATTGCTTGGCATATAAGCTTGGTACATAGTACGTCCTCAATACATGCCATCACTATTTTCATTTTCAGCATGCACTGCTTCTGTGCTGGCCAGTCATATCTTATTCATGAACACTCTTGAGAGTTTGGGACTGAGGAGTACAGAACCTGTGGACTATTTAAAAGACATAAAGAATGTTTGCATTTTCTCTTCTTTAAACTCAAATCTATTTTAAAATGTTTAAATCGACAACAAAATTGTATATATTTATGGTGCCTTTTAATGTTATACATAGGAATCTGTTTCCCAAATACTTGGCATGTTGGGAGGCCAGTGTAGCAACACTGTAAAGCCTCAAAATGACACCTTCACAAGATGGATGTGAAATGAAAGATGACAATTCTTCAATCAACCCACCACTATTTATTTGTGGAGTGCTGGCTTTAGGTAGCACACAGAGGGCAAGGTACAGATAATATACTGGCATAGCGCTTTGCAGTTCATGACATATCTATGTATATTCAAGTTTTCATAGCAACTCCAGGAATTATTTTCATTCCATGGGTAATAGCATTTAATAGTATTAATAATTACTGTTGATGGGAAGCTTATAATACTGCAGACCCTGTGCTTTACATGTTTTACTTCATTTAGTTGTTAAAACAGCCTATAAAGTAGGAATTATGATTCCTCATTTTATATATGTGGATAACTAAGGCACAGAGAGGTTTTGTAACTAGTCCAGGGACACACAGAGGTAGAGCTGCATTTTGAACTCAGATCCCTCTGACTTCAAAATCTTTGTTCTTAATCATGATGCCATGTACGAGACCTTGCTGAGCATTCATTTATAAGTTAAGTGTCTTGTATGCACAGGCACACATACATGCACAATACAGTATATTAGCTAGAGTCCACAAATAAAATACTTTTTATGTGTGAGATGGATATGTGCCAGGCCCTGTACCAAATGCTAAAGACACAATAATGAATAAGACAGATCCAGCACTACTCTCAGTGAGCTCACAGGATAGAGGAGGGGATACATGTTTAGCAATCACACAAATGTGGTTACAGTTGTGAATAAGTGAGATTTTACTGTGTTATCAGAGGGAAATCATGGTGCTATGGAACTGACTAGTGGAAGGTAAATGGAACACCAGTGTGCATTCCATAAAATTTACTTCTCGTGCCCCCTCCAATATCAGAGATATGCAAAATTTGTTGACCATGTAGTACAACAGTATCTGGTGCCTGAGTGATAGAACTCGAGACAAATCAACACTAGCATTTCTCCCGGAGACCCTTGGCTTGGCATGGCACTAGAGAATCTGCTGACCTGCAAGGTTTCCAATTAGCTATCAGAAAATAGAGACATTGAGAGGAGAGGGAAGAGAACTAAGGGGGAGACAAGAAGAGCTTTGCTCCCTTTGTGAGGAAACAGTCTTGGTGAGAATCCTGATAGCCCAGTCCTAGCCACTGGGGGTATGTCAGGTTCACCAACAGAAGCGTATGTCTTGGAGACCCCAATAGTAACAGTAACAACGATAATGACATTTGCTACCACTTCTTGGTCCTCAAGCTTTGCATACATTATTGCATTTAATGCTCACACTTCTAAGGAAGGTACTATCCTCTTCTCATTTGTAGATAAGGAGACAGACCAGGAGGAAAGGTTCAGTAAGTCACCCAGGATCATGCGGCTAGGCAGTGGCAGAGATGGGCTCTTGACTCTGCCCATCTGTCACACCACCTCCACAACTGGGCCTTGCCTTGCTTTGTCAATATTGTTTCCCTGTTCAAACAAGTCAAACCAGGATTCCTCACATTCTAGATATACCTTGTATATTCCCACTTTTGTGCCTCTGCTGCTCCTCACCTCTTCCTGTGCCCATCCAGGTACACTGGAAAGAACATCAGACTCAGGGATGCTGGGCTGGAATCCGGGCTGGAATCCAGGCTGGGCACAAGTCCAGGCTGGCTTTTGATAATACCTATTATCTATTGAGCTTTTGTGCTGTGTGCTCTACATGTATTAACTCATTCACTATTCATAGGTATTAGTACTTTCTCTTTTCCACAAATTAGCCTAATCAGTCAACTCAGGCACAACTCACAGCTAGTAGGAACAGAGCCAGAATTTGAACTCAGTATACTTCCAGCTTATGTTCTTAACCTCTGTCCTACTCTCTCATCTGCGTGGCTTTCAGCACTGTCAGCTCTCTGGGCGTTTCCTTCTCTGTAATAGGAAGGAGTTAGGGTTGCCTACTAGGTCCCTCCCAGCTCTTAGAT